AATTTCATTCAATCACTATTTCATGTTAAATACACTCTTTTTTGATTCTTCTAGCGACGTGCACTGATGGTGTGCAAAATCAAAACGAAGGAGACATTGACTGTGGTGGTCCTTGTCTAAATAAATGTTCAACCACGAAGACGTGTGGCATCGATACAGACTGTGTTGGTGGGCTTTGCACAAGCGGCATATGTCAACGTAAGCTAACTGCGATAACAAAACTTCTAAAAGTGTATTGTTTTTGATTTAACTAGCCATGTGTACTGATACTGTGCAAAATCAAAATGAAGGAGACATTGACTGTGGAGGCCTTTGTGCACTTAAATGCGCAGCAGGTCTGACATGTGGAGTAGCTGCGGACTGTGTGAGTATAATTTGTACTAGTGGCATATGTCAAGGTAAATTTTATTCAACTGCTATTTCATGTTAAATACACTCTTTTTTGATTCAATTAGCGACGTGCAGTGATGGTGTGCAAAATCAAAATGAAGGAGACATTGACTGTGGTGGTCCTTGTCTAAATAAATGTGCAGCGACTAAGAGTTGCGGTGTGGCTGGGGACTGTGTGAGTGATGTTTGCACAAGCAACATATGTCAACGTAAGCTAACTTGCATAACAGAACTTCTGAGTGTATTCTTCTCGATTTAACTAGCGACGTGCAGTGATGGTGTGCAAAATCAAAACGAAGGAGACATTGACTGTGGCGGACCTTGTTTAACAAAATGTGCAACCACGAAGACGTGTGACATGAACACGGACTGTGTTGGTGGGCTTTGCACAAGCGGCATATGTCAACGTAAGCTAACTTCGATAACAAAACTTCTAAAAGTGTATTGTTTTTGATTTAACTAGCCACGTGTACTGATACTGTGAAAAATCAAAATGAAGGAGACATTGACTGTGGTGGTCCTTGTCCAAATAAATGCGCAAATGGTCGGACATGCGGAGGATCTACGGACTGTGTGAGTGCCCATTGTACAAGTGGCACATGCCAAGGTAAGTTTCATATAATCGTAGTTTTATGGTAAATCGGCTCGTATTAAGTCAACTAGCCACGTAGGGTGATGGTCTGAAAAAATCTAAACAAAGTACATATTGATTGTAGTGACTCTTTTGCAACAAAATGTACACTCACGAAGGGTTGTATCAGACTATCGGATTGTATAGGTGTGAGTATAAGCGCGGATTTACGATTACACGCGCAGAAATAGCCACACCCACACTCTCAAAGACTATCTTAATTCAGCGGAACTGAGGTCGTATCTTTCCCTAGTCGCGCTACGGCCAAGCTCCGGTTACATTAATGGTTTATCATACATTTTGGATACTGATAAGTTTATAGGATGGTATCTGCATGCACTTATGGGTTTTTATTTTCGACTGTTGTCTCTATTTTTCTGAATCTTTAAAAGTATCTGTTCGTCTATTATCACATATAATTCATACAATTTATATTCTTCTCACTTGTATTTGCGATTTTTCTATCACATATCTTTATTCTTGTTTATTCTCCTGTCTTGTCTTGTGTTATTTTTCTTAATGTCGGAGTCTTCGTGATTTCGAAATAGCTTGAGGCTGTACAAAACCAAACATGAGTCTATATATCACTGAACTCAAAATAACAGTTTGCGTATCTGATTGTATAGAATTTCATTTAAAGATTTTTTTTATGGGAATAATGTAAACAAATACTTTTAATAAGTATTATTGTTAACCTTACTGAAAATATCTGATCTGTTGACAAATAAAAAAATTCCATGTAAAGCGTTCTATAGACCATTTTAGTTAGCAACTAAAAAATGGTACGAAGAGATCCAAACAAACTTTAGGAATGACAAAATATTGATAGAAATGTAACAAATTTCTAGAACTAGGTAATTTGAAAGTGAACAGTTACAATATTTCAAACTTTCAAGTATGAATCACCGATTTTTTAGTAAGAGTTGATGGCTTGGTATTCAAAGAGTTTCAGTTGTAGGTTACAAACATCAAACACAAAACCAATCTTGTTAACTAGTTGATCCTAAAATTTGCGCTATTTCCATCAATATTGTACCATTCCCAAAGTTTGTTTCGATTTCTTCTTGTCTTTTTGTTAGGTGACAACTAAAAATGACCTATAAAATGTTTTACATGGACTTTTCTTATTTATCAATAGGTCAAATTTCTTCATTTAGGCTAAGAATAATACCCAGTAAACGTATTTTTTATACTATTCTTATGAAAACAAATCTTAAGTAAAGTTATTTACATTAACCAAAAGAATGAGCCTATTTTGCTGAGTTATAGTCAAAATATTCAGTTTTCTTTCAGTATCGTGACTTTTGAACCACCTTAGATAGAAGATTGATATATGTAGCTCAGTGTATCGCTATTTGCAATAGATCACACACAACGTTGCGCCATTCCTGCTCTTCTAAATGATATTTGAAAAAAATAAGAAGAGATTCTATATTCGTCTCCAAAACTGCTGTTTTGTCTTTCAATTATAATCTCACTTGATAAACTATTATGATTATTACTAGAAAAGATTCAAAACAGCGTAAAATAACAATGCTAGACACTTAAGTAACTGTCACAAATAAATATCATATTCATTAATACATGCCTGCGAGTAAAATACTCTTCAATTATCGATTGCTCTTTTTCCTTCTCTGCACATGCATAAAAAGATATCAAAAATTCTCATTACGAAGGAGCAATGTGTTTGCATCAAAGCGTTTTTCGAAACGTGAATAAACGTTTTTGCTATAAAAGACTAAGCCTTAAGTATTTTTAAAATGTCTAAATCAGTTAATTCTGACTGATCTCTCTTTATTATTTTCATTCCAACTGAATTTGAATTCTTCGAGACTAATGCAGATAAGAGCAAATGTTATCGAATAATTTACTCAGACTTTGATTTTTAAGATCTAGTTGTTTCGCTTTTGAGCTGGTAACAGATAGTTCCAGTCCAACCAAGTCCCAAAATGGTTTCAGTTTGTGGAGACTACTAGCACATATTCATTCAACTCTAAAAGTACGATTTAATCCTATCATTTAACAATCAAAATTCCAGAATGACAGCATTGTTTCTATTCTTTCACATGTTTGTAAGTAGGATATTTCAGATTTACGATCAATCATGATTGTTTTTTAGCATTGTTGTTCTTATGATATTTATCTATCAATATTTTTTTTAATTTTAGTTGATCCTAATTCGTGCAGTATTCTTTGTTGCCCTGGTGGTCCTGGTTATGGTGGTTCTTTTACTCGTCCTTATTATAGTCCTTTTTATAATTTTGGTGCTTGTACTGCTTGTACTTATAATGGTGCTCCTGCTTTTTGTTCTGGTGGTGCTTTTAATAATGGTGGTACTTATCTTAATTATGCTGGTAGTGCTTGTTTTGCTGTTCTTGCTGTTAACAGTTGTTTTGTTTAAGACACAATATAGGTCGATCGAGGTTTTCGTGTACCAACAGCAACAATTTTACATGAAATTAATCAGAAACATTTATACTGTGACATCTTTTTGCGAAAATGAACTTTATTCGCAATTTATTTTTACAATAATCTTTATGAGAAGAACGTTTTTTATGTTCTTCTACTTTTCGACTAATTAATTAACATTTACAGGACTAGCTAAATAAAAAGAAGCAACTTCTTTTTATTAGCTATTATCCATTCTATTATATTCTTTTATTTCACTATGATTCTAATTATATTTTTTCATTTCATTATATATTGATTCTAATTAGAAAATAAAATAAAACCTTAAATTCATAAGTTAACACATAATTGAATAAAATGAACATAACATTAATCAAAAACTGTGATAAAATAAGATATTTAAAATAATCTGTGGTGCTTCGTTAGTGAAAATTGTTTTTATCGAACGCTTTAGAGAGTTTGTCATTTATTTTTATTTGGCTTCCTCCATGCTGTCATAACCATATTGTACTTCCATGATAAACATACTTTCTCCGTAATATTGTGATGTATGTTTTTATGTTTGTAGATGATTTATAAAAAAAGGAAGTCGTAATTCTTTGATGTTATCTCGGCAGTTTGTCCAATTGTTAATCATGAAATAAATCGATTCTTCAATATATTGTCTTTTCAAGTCATTGTCGATGATAAACACTTCAGTTAAACGCAGTCAGGGCTCCCAGACCAAAAAGTAATAAATGAAATTTTTTTGTAAAAAATTGGAAAAATTGAGACGTGTTTTTTCGCACTAGTTCGAATAAAATCAGAAAACAGCTCTTTATCATTTCAATACATGAATTGTCTTTTCTTTTATTATAATATATTTGTTTAATTAGCATCTAATTAACAACGTACAGCTCAAACAAAATTAGAAATCGATAACCATGTTGAGGGTGTGGGTGTGAGTGAGCGTAGGTGGATATGGCTAGATAAGGAGATATCCACACCCTTACTAGATTTTCTTATTCTGATATATTTGATTTTAGCGAACATATGGTAATATATTAGAAAGATGATAATCTTAATCTAGCAAAGCAATGTCTTTTAATTCTTCGAACATTTTTTTAATCTATTTATTGCAAATAAATGTATTAGTCATTAGT